TTTTGTGCGGGAACCGCGGAATAGTTAGGGCGTCTAGTAAATATCCTGTCTAGGAATTATAACGCGCATTCCCTGTTTGGATAGCCTTTCCCGGGACTTATTGGGCCCGACTCAGAATCTGTATAAGTGCATTCGACAATATAAGCTAGTGCGGCCTCTGATTCTAGAATTAACTATTGCTACGCGAAACGGTAGTGACCTTTGACCCAGAAACTCCGGGCGTGTTTTGTGCGGTAACCTTATACCCCGCGATAGTTAGTGGCTTCTGTAAGCTAGTTAATAGTACGATAGAGTTAAGTGACTGTCATCGTGGTGAACCAAGAAAGTGACTGTGGATAACCTCGAAAGGCCCCCTCAAGTTGGAGCGGTGTCGACGCTCGGGCTGCTGCCGACGGCTAAGGTCTAGGTTCAATCACCATCAGTCACACCCAGATACACACCACATCACCATTCTTTCCCTTGCACTACACAACCACATGCGACCTGACCGACTCCGGAGGGACCAGTCGCCTTGGATAGAGGTAAGTGAACTCCGCCAAATTCCTTCCGGTCGACTGGCCGTAGTATAACGCTCCCCCATATATTTAGTGTAATTAGAGAGATTCCACGTGGCACATTGAGCCCGACCTACGTCTGCTCGGGAGGACTTCAGCTCATGGGCCCCTGAGGATCTGATCCTTTAAAGGGAGCAGCCGTAGGCCGTAACAAACTGGTAGCAGAGCGTGGTTCCGGGTTCGATTCCCCGGTCGATCCCGACCATAGTGTTTGATAAAAATTAAACAATTCTGGTGGCAGGGAGCGTTGGTTTGATTGGTTTAATTTGTATCTACAATCACGCCCGTCCGTAATACGTAAAAATATTTTTTTTGTACGTAATAATAGAATTATTTTCCTTTGTTGCTTTGTTGCTTGCCTTTTTTTTGGTTAGAGGGTAATTTGAAAAGCCGCGCCCTAGGTTGTGCAAGCGGGAGTTTTTCTAGAGATATACGTCATGTAGGTAGATGGTTATTTTTACGTAATCGGTTAATTATCGTTGTCGGAGAGTTGTAGTGGATTACTTATCGAAGGGTCGATTTCCGAGCTAGGCATTTTTGTTGATCGACCGTGATGTGTATCTTCGTTTGTACTGTAAGTTGTATTTGAACTAAAGAGTAGTAATTTGTATTTGCGCAATTTGAATTTAACTTGATTTGATCGCACTAGTATTTTTTATTTGTTAATTTGATTTGTGTCTTTTCTTTTGTGCTAACTTGTATTTGGTTGATACGTAGTAATTCGTATTTGTGTAATTTCTATTCAACGCGATTTGATAGGAACTGCATTTATTAACTGTTAATTTTTGTTGTATTTTTTGTTTGTTATCTTTGTAATTTGTGCTCGAGCCGCGTCGTAATTTGTATTTAATAGTGATGACATCGCCCAAGCTACTGATGCGTTGTTTGCGGACTGAGCTACGCTGGGCCACAAGCGCCCATGCTTTGATAGGTCGACCGGATAGGGTCCATAACTTGATGAAGCGGTTCGAGCAGGTGGATGCTCGAAGGGCCGCAGTGGAGGAGGCTTACGCTGAGCTCGAGGATTCGGATGTGGAGAAGGGAGTCCTGGACTCCTGCTTCGCGGACTATGAGCAGTTCTTGTGGCTCACGGACGAGTTGATCGAGGCTGAAGGCAGATATGCCGAGGAGGCGCGTGAAGCTCGGATGAGTGACCTGTCCGAGTCCTCTCTGAAGCAGCTTCAGCCGGAGCTGTTGGGACGACTCCCAACTCTGGACCTGCCAAAGTTCTCCGGGGTCCTTTCCGAATGGCTGACCTTCGTTGGTCTTTTCGACAGCCTAGTGGACGCCCGGAGTGACCTGACCCCGAGCCAAAAGATGGCGTACCTCCTGGCCTCACTGGAGGGGGAGGCCCTGGGCGTCGTCGGCCACTTGAGATTGTCGGACGACGCCTACCAGACTGCTCGGGACCTCCTAGCCAGAAGATACGCCAACGTCCGGCGGATTGCGGACGAACAGGTTAAGCGGCTTCTGAGCCTCCCGCTGCTTGGTGACCGAGCCAGACTGCGTCCGGACCTGTTGGATCCGGTCTTAGTGGCCTGTGATACGTTAAGGCGGCTGGATTTACCAGTGGGCGAATGGGCCTTCTTGTTGCTCCGCATCGTGCTGTCCCGTCTACCTCTCGACCTTCGTATCCATTTTGAGGAGAGGTACGGCGGGGACGAGGCCTCCTATATTCCGCCCTTCTATGACCTGCTGCGGTTTTTGGAGGAGCAGTGCCGGCAGATCGAGAACGCGGCGGGCACCGTTGACGACTTACGAGACGTGCCCAGTGAGAGGCTGAACCCGCCAGGCAAGTCGTCGTCAACCCCCCCCCCTGCTCCTATTGTCGAGCATCTGATCACCGGGTAACGTCGTGCCCGAAATTATTAGGTAAGCCGGTTCCCGCGAGGCAAACTATCGCCAAGGAGCGCCGCTGGTGCTGGTCATATCTGGGAGGGCACCTCCAGCGAGACTGTCCGCATCGACGGCCCTGTCTGCATTGCCAGGGCAATCATTATGCCGTTTTGTGCCTGAGTGCGAACGGCGTCACCTCTCGGGGCTCTGCCAGGCCCTCGACCCCCACGGGCGGGGGCGCTCAGCCACGCCCTCTGCCGGGCGACTCTCGGCGCCCGCCGGCCAGCCATCAGGCCCCTAAGTTTGAAAGGGGCCCCTCCCCCGACCAGTCGGGGGGTAATTCCCCCAGGTGCGGGGGTGTCATCACCCCCCCTCAGCGTGTGGAGAGGAACTTCACGGCCACTCATCGGTCAGCTGGACCCTTCTCACTCCCGTTAGCTGAGTGGCCGCGACTGGTGTATCACTGTTCCCCATTTGATGGAGGCGGCCCTGTCTAGCTGCCGCCTTAGCTCCCACCACGGCCGCCTCCACTGAGCCTTAAGCCGTCAACAGTCCACTTGTCAAAATGTTCTGTTGCCGACGGCCTCAGTGAAAGCGTACAACCCGAGTTGCAACTGTTAAGGGTTGTGCTCTATTTATCTCGGGTTCACGCCATGTGGCCTCCCCTTGGTGGTGGGAAGATTAGGGCCCCCCTGGAGCGTTGAATCACGCTGTCAAGGGGTATTAGATTTGGTTTGGTCGAGCACTTAGTTAAAAAATACTTTGAATTAAAATTAAAAAATGCTTTGAGCTTTCCGCGAAATTTTCCTATTTGTAGCGGTTTAAATTAAAAGGATTGAATTTAATCTACTCTTTTAAATGCTACTGCATGTGTTTTGTACATATATTTAATCACTGTATTTGATTGTTGCGTCTGTTTGCTGAAAGGAAAATTTGAATTCATCTGAAATTGAATGGCGCGCTATTAGAAAAATTATGTTTATGATAGTGTTTAATCATTTTTGTTTTCTAAGAAGTAGGGCTGTCCCTTACGTTATTGTTTTGTTTAATTTGCAAGTTGACCTATGCGCATCGGTGATTAATTTGGTTGAATTAATTCTGTAGTTGAACATTGATGCTTTTGAAAAATTAGTTGAAATATGAGCATAGGACTACTTGTCTAACAGGTTAGCTAGTTTTGGAGATTATCAGATTGAAATCAGCTGCCGCACTATTTTAGTAAATGATAATATGGTGGGTGGCCTGGCTAGGCCTACTTGTTGAAAATTCATACTAGGGACTATCTGTGCGTTTCGTTCGGCTCTCCACAGACGACGTTCATGTGGAATTTGTGGGTGCTCTCTGCACTGAAGCTTAGGAGGCCGCTCGAGGCCGCTTCGTGTCGCGTCACTGTTTGCAGAGCTGATCCGGTCGGATTGCGGAACTAATCATAGGGGCACAGATAGGTGTTTGAAAGAGGTCGTCGGACTTCTGTCCAGTACAGGACTTGTTAAAGTGCTGCGATGCCCAGGAGGGGCATCCAGTGGAGGCTGACCCTCCGGCTTGCCACATTAGGGCTATTTTTTGAGGCGCTGGTTAGGGTTGCAAGATCTGATGGGATGCCTTAGGTGGCCTAGTTTGGTTGTAGATTCGGTCTTGCAACTTGCCTTCGCGACCTTGTCCCGCTGACCGGTTTGCTCGCGGACCTAAATCCTTATGTCCGGGACGGGGGTTTGTTCGCGCCAAACACTTTCAAGGATTGACGCGAGATGTCACTCGGCTCGGCGCGATACCGGTTTGACTTTCGGTCGTGCGAAAAACGCCCAAGGGCAGTCAGTCATCTGCCAGATGTGCTAATGTTTGCACGCTGTTAATTTTGTGCGGGAACCGCGGAATAGTTAGGGCGTCTAGTAAATATCCTGTCTAGGAATTATAACGCGCATTCCCTGTTTGGATAGCCTTTCCCGGGACTTATTGGGTCCGACTCAGAATCTGTATAAGTGCATTCGACAATATAAGCTAGTGCGGCCTCTGATTCTAGAATTAACTATTGCTACGCGAAACGGTAGTGACCTTTGACCCAGAAACTCCGGGCGTGTTTTGTGCGGTAACCTTATACCCCGCGATAGTTAGTGGCTTCTGTAAGCTAGTTAATAGTACGATAGAGTTAAGTGACTGTCATCGTGGTGAACCAAGAAAGTGACTGTGGATAACCTCGAAAGGCCCCCTCAAGTTGGAGCGGTGTCGACGCTCGGGCTGCTGCCGACGGCTAAGGTCTAGGTTCAATCACCATCAGTCACACCCAGATACACACCACATCACCATTCTTTCCCTTGCACTACACAACCACATGCGACCTGACCGACTCCGGAGGGACCAGTCGCCTTGGATAGAGGTAAGTGAACTCCGCCAAATTCCTTCCGGTCGACTGGCCGTAGTATAACGCTCCCCCATATATTTAGTGTAATTAGAGAGATTCCACGTGGCACATTGAGCCCGACCTACGTCTGCTCGGGAGGACTTCAGCTCATGGGCCCCTGAGGATCTGATCCTTTAAAGGGAGCAGCCGTAGGCCGTAACAAGTTATTTATAATTTAGGATTTAAGCAATCCAATATGTTTCTTCTTTCAGATGAAGAAGAAGTAATGATTCGTCCATATGAATGCATGGACGTATCGCATAACGGCCGCGTGCTCTGCGCCGGCAGTCAGTTAGTGGAGGATGACGCTTACCTCGTGTTTTGGGATCAACGTGTCACCAAACCACTCGGCGGGTACTGGAATTCACACACTGATGACATCACACAGGTAAAAATTAACGAACTGAATATATTTCTTTATAATGTTTCTCTATTCACTTTGTACGGTGCAACACCGTGCATTCTCCCGCGTCGACATTTTAGCAATTAGACACTATGTGCAACTGACCTCATTTATTAATATTCTACATTTTTAGTGTTTTTGTTTTTGCCTACCAATACGGTCGTCTGACTCAACCTTATATTTTTACCAAGTTTCGTATATTGTGAAATCTCAATAAATCTTTGTTTTTTCTCAAGATTGTTATTAAATCATACATCATCACATCAAGTAAAGGGTGTGATATAACAAGACCAAACACATTTACTTTACAGAAACAGCCTTTAATGTTTTTATTTGAGGCAACTAACATATACATAAGCATTAAAATTGTACTCTTTTTATATACTAGATGACTGTATAAACATCGCATGTACGCCAAAAGTAAAACACCCATACCAAATAAGTGTAACACTGCAGCCTCAAAGGTGCGACATGAAATTCTTCCGAAGCCCATGTCCAACAGTGAACTTTATCAAGCTGATGAAGAAGATAAAGAATTTTGCTGAAACAATTCAAATTTTAATACAAGAAACTACTTTAACCAAAGACATATATTTAGATCTATGTCTGTGTTTCAAATTACCACATTTGCAATGTTATAGGTATCAATTTTAGAGTATTTATAAGCAAGCTATAGAGCGCGCGTAACCGTAAACGATTCAGGACTGTAAACACGCGTTAGAACTGTCTCGACATGACCAACACGAAGTTATTAGTCTCGAAAGGTCACGCGCGTTAATTATTTCACTCGGCGATATTTAATAGAATTTTTAGTTATCATGGTGAAATGTGCAGTGTCAAGTTGCAAAAACGATTCACGGAAGCAAAATAAGAAGAACAATGATATTTCTTTTCTTTTCATTAGATAAGAAAACGCTAATTTTAACAAAATTACTTAAGGCGTCAAAGGGTGTAGCGGGATTTTTCGTAAGATAAGGATGACAAACAAGCACACAGTCCACCTGACGGTAAGGGGTTGCTGTAGCCCATAGACATCTACATCTATCCTCGATTACGAATCCAAATGCAGGTGCGTTGTCACCCCTGAAGACTAAGATGGAATGGCTGGTTTCCAGTATTTTTACTGACCCTTTTGGGTCTCCAGTTCTCTACACTTACCATACGACGAAACACATCAGTGTTAAGCTGCTATTTTACGCTGATATTCTGTGAGAACGTGGTCCTTCTCCGACCCATTTGTGCTACAACTATACTAGTAATCTAGCTGCAGCATGGCTCTACCACGTATAAAACGTGCCCCGCGCCTCGCGCTTTGCGTTTTCCCCGAATTAGAGCTAGTGCTGTGGCACGTTTACTCGAATATTTTTTTTAATAAAATGATTTCTTTAGTATTAGAAATAAAGATCCTTTGTATTTTTGGTATGTATGTGGATATGGGTATATGGATCATAAAATAAAATATTATTTAGGTATAACACAATTTAATGCGGTTAAATACTTATCTAATTTCAGTTTTACGAAAGCCCTGAATTAACAAATAAGTGGGTGATAACGATAAAAAGGCCCAACTGGGAACTCAACATTAGAATCTCTGTTTGTTTTTTTATAGGATAAGGGTGACAAACGAGCACACAGTCCACCTGATGGTAAGTGGTTCCTGCGGCCCATAGACATCTACATCTATCCTCTATTACAAATCAAAATGCAGATGGGTTGTCACCCGTGAGGACTACGATGGAATGCCTCATTTCCCGTAAAAAGGGTCTCTGGTTCTCTATACTCACCATACGAAACACAGCAGCGTTAACCTGCTATTTTACGCTGGTATTCTGTGAGAGTGTGGTCCTTCACCAGGTTGGGCCGACCCATTCGTGTAACTATACTACTAATGTACCTGCAGTATGGCTCTAGCACATAAAAAAATGTTCCATTTTAGTGTTTCGTCTATCAAATCATCACATCATCACCAAAAATATATTGATATTAAAATATCTTGTTCGCAAAACTGCGATAAAACTAACAAAAATAATTCGATTTTTGTGTTTATTTAATAACCGTCGTCTTATAAAGTCATTCCTGTTTTATATTGACTTGAAAAAACCTACCATATATTTATTTACCTACCCAATATTTACTAAATACTTACCTTCCTTTTTAACTAATTAAAATTATAAATTTAGCATTAATCATGGCGCACCACTATTTAATCGCTTTATCTATGTATCAGTATCAGTAGAACACCTGCCAGTTTACACTTGGCAGAATAGGCAAAGAGCGGTACGCGCGTTCCATATAGCTTGCTTGTAAATACTTATATATAAGGTATCAATACTATAGGATAGTAGCGCTGGCTAAGAATAGTAAAAAGATCTATGTAGTAGGAAGTCTGAATAATTCATTATACATTTCTATTTTTTTTTAAGTTTATTGTGCGGTATTTTTGATTCTAGGTCAAATTCCACAAAGAGAAAATGGAGATTCTAGCAACTGGTTCTGTAGACGGTCTACTAAATGTATTTGACATAACAGAGCAAACGGAAGACGATGCGCTGACCTATTCCATGAATGTGGAGAATTCAGTAGACAAGATCTCATGGCTCGACGAGAACACTGCAGCTTGCATCACACAGTCCAACGACTTGCAAGTGTGGAATATGGACAGCGGAGATTTGATCAAATGTTATGATAGAGAGAAGATCGCTAGAAGTATTAAGGTATTTTTTTTAAACATATTATTATTATTTAGTAGGCCAGCAGTTGAAGCAACTGATATAAGCCTGTATCCTGGTATCAAATCTGTAATTTAGTAGGCCAACAGTTGAAGCAACTGATATAAGCTTGTATCCTGGTATCAAATCTGTAATTGTTCTGTTTGATTTATTTATCTAATCTGTTTTTAAATTGGTTTATGCTCAAGGAACTTTAATAAATCTGCATTGAACTTTGTGTCCTGGTTCGTGAAACTGTAACTCAATATCTTTTTTAAATACTCCGACTTTGGAATGCATGTTTCAAAATAATTCATTTTACTCTATCTATTTTGTTTCATCATTATATATCATGCGTATTTTTTAATGAGTAAAAAAAGTAAAATTAAATTTACAATTTTGACCTTGTAGTGGCGATGAAAGACTATCCACAACCCCATATCTTCCTTGGATGTCGCCTATACTAGATAATAGCCCGATCAATTTAATTATTTCAATAGTTTTTATCATATTGCCTACTCATATTTTACGGCACGTTGCAAGACCGAATCTCCAACCAAAACCTCGGCCACCCTAGGCACCCCATCAGATCTTGCAACCTTAACCACCGCCTCAAAAATACCGCCTCAGTGCGGGCAAGCCAGAGGGTTGAACCTCCACTGGATGCCCCCCCTGGACATCGCAGCACCCAAACAAGTCCTGTTGCTGGACAGAAACCCGACGACCTCCTTCAAATATCTATCCGTGCCCCCACAATTCGTTCCGCAATCAGACCGGACCAGGTCCGGCAAACCGTGACGCGATTCGAAGCGGCCCAGCATGGCCACAAATGCTTCAGTGCTGAGGGCACTTACAAGTTCCAAGTGAACGGCCTTAGTGGCGAGGCACACGAAAACGCACAGATAGGCCTTAGTATGATTTTGTTCACGCAAGTAGACATAATCAAGCCATGTACCATATAACCATTTACTGATTTCAATCTGATAATATCATAACTAGCTAGCTTTTCCAAACATGCAGTTCTATGCTTATACTTCCACCAAGCCTCAAAAACATCAATACTCAAAACCACTATGTAAAACTTGAAAATAAATTGCAACAAATTAATTTACCGATGCGCATAGATAAAACAGACGAATTAAGTAAAACGATAAACATAAGAGACAGCCCTATTCCTCTTTCCAAATAAATATCTTCGACAACACCAATAAAAATGTGAAAACAAAGAGAGGATTGATTTTTATTTCCTTCGGCACAAATAGTGTTACTCAATTTCAATTTCCTTTCAATAAAGCAAACATAATGATTAAATATCTTTACAAAAACATATGTACACGTATTCAAAGAGTATATTAAAATCACCTTTTTACTCACAACCATTACAACTACGAATCATTCGAGGTCGGAGGAACCCCGTAGTACCGGTACCGATCAAAAAGGGGGGACGGTGGTACCCCAGCCGCGGCCACTCAGCCAACGGGGGTGAGAAGGGCCTAGCTGACCGCTGAGTAGCCGTGAAGTTCCTCTCAACACGCTGAGGGGGGGCGACGACCCCCCGCCCCTGGGAGAACGACCCCCCGCCCCTGGGAGAACGACCCCCCCGCCCCTAGGAGAACGACCCCCCCGCCCCTGGGAGAACGACCTCCCGGCTGGTCGGGAGAGGGACCTCTTTGAAACTCAGGGGCACGGTGGCTGGCAGGCGAGCGCCGAGCGTCGCCCGACAGAGGGCGTGGCTGAGCGACCCCGCCCGTGGGGGTCGAGGGCCTGGCAGAGCCCCGAGAGGAGACGCCGTTCGCACCCAGGCACAAAACTGCATGGTGATTGCCCTGGCAGTGCGGACAGGGCCGCTGGTGCGGGCAGTCTCGCTGGAGGTGCCTTTCCGAACACGAGTAGCACCAGCGGCGCTCCTTGGCGATAGTTCGCCTTGCCGGAACCGGCTTACCCAATAACTTCGGGCACGACGTCACTCTGTGATCGGATGCGCGACAATAGGAACAGGGGGCGCCTCCCTGGCCGCTAGGCCACTGTAGATGGTAGGGAGCGGCGCCCTCCCGCGGGAGCTCCGATCGGCCTTAGGGGGGTTGGTGACGACTTGCCCGGCGGACTCCGCTTCTCACTGGGCACGGCTCGGTTGGCAACCCGTAAGTCGTCGACGGTGCCCGCCGCGTTCTCAATTTGCCGGCACTGCTCCTCCAAGAACCGCCGCAGATAACTGAAGGGCGGAATATAGGAGGCGACGTCCCCGCCGTACATCTCCTCAAAATGTATCCGAAGGTCGAGAGGCATGCGGGACAGCACGATGTGGAGCAACAAGAAGGACCATTCATCCACCGGTAAATCCAGCCGCCTCAACGCATTACAGGCCACCAAGACTGGATTCACGATGTCCGGGCGTAGTCTGACCCGGTCCCTAAGCAGCGGGAGGCTTAGAAGCTGCCTAACGTATTCGTCCGCGATTCGCCGGATGTTAGCGTATCTTCCGGCGAGGAGGTCCCGGGCAGTCTGGTAGGCGTCGTCCAACAATCTCAAATGGCCGACGACGCCCAGGGCCTCCCCCTCCAGTGAGGCTAGGAGGTACGTCATCTTCTGGCTTGGTGTCAAGTCCCTCCGGGCGTCCAATAGACTATCAAAAAGGCCAACAAAAGTCATCCAGTCGGAGAGGACCCCGGAGAACCTTGGCAGGTCCAGAGTTGGGAGTCGTCCCAACAGTTCCGGCTGAGTAGGCTTCTTCCGAGGGGACTCGGCCAGGCCACTCAGCCGAACTTCACGCGCTTCATTAGCATACTTGACCCCTGCCTCGATCAAGTCGTCCGTGAGCGAAAAGAATTTCTCGTAGTCCGCGAGGCAGGAGTCTAGGACTCCCTGTTCCGCATCCGAGGCCAAAAGCTCTCTGCAAGCCTCCTCCACTACGGCCCTTCGGGCATCGACCTGCTCGAGCCGCTTCCCTAAACTATGGACCCGATCGGGTCGCCCCACCAAGGTATGGCGCGGCCCAGCGCAGCTCCGCCTGCAGGCGAAGCGCCGGTAGCTTGTGCGATGGCATCACTACTAAATACAAATTACTATCAAATTAAATTCAATATAAATTACTACAAATACAAGTACACACTACAGTCGGTCAGCAAAGATGCCTCGCTCTGGCGACTGACCCTTCGGCAATTAATCTACTATAATTATACGATAACGATAATTATACGATTATGTGATAACGATAATTATCTACCTACCCGAAATACCTGACGCGTGGGTACCTAACCCTAAACTACACTCCCGCTTGCGCAACCTAACGGGCGTGGTTCCTAATTCTACCCACCGATCCGCTAACAAAACACAAAAAATATTTATTACGTACGTACGTATTTATTACCTACTATTTTTATTAATATTACGGCCGGGCGTGATTGGAGAACCAATCAACCACGCTCTGCTACCAGACATTGTTACGGCCCCCAGACGCCCCAGCAAAGTCGACTGGGCTAGGGCCCATAGTAGCCTCCTCGATGAGCAGCCGAGGGTTCGGGTCCAATGGCCTATGGATAATTATTCTAAAACGGCTGACAAGCAAACAAAACTTACCGAGTTCCGGAGGTAGGGTTGACCACAGGGTAGCAGTCAGGTGGTAAGTGAGGTGTATGTAAGTAGTGTACGAAAGTGTGTATAAATGTAACCTGACATCCCCGATGTAGTCGGACAGCAGATCCACAGGCGCTGCTTTTCACTTAGCAACAAATTACAATCGAGCTCACGCGATCTGCTCTCGAGTCACAAAGGGTTAGCGTTCTCCCAACAAAGCCAAATTCCTTTGTACGATATTAAAGGCCACACAAACGACAACTCGTCCGCGCAAATTAATGGCAATCAGTTAATTTAATCATTCAAAACTCAAGATAGGCCTCGCTGTGACGTAACGCTCAAAACAGACAACTCCATTCGAGGCGGTCTTTACGACACCCAAATATTCAATAGTAAATTCAAAACGACGCGCACAATTAATCACACGAGCCGCGCCCAACCAACGATCGGTTGCAAACAGAACAAGCGTTCAAGACACTGTTGCCGGCCTACGCGGCCGAATGCCGCACCGCCCCCCCCCCCCACCCGGCGGCGTTTACGTCACCTACATACCATCGGATGACACGCCGAGACAAGCGTTATTGGATGCAAATTTCAAATGCCCATATTTAGCCTAAATAGCACTATTATTGATTTCGATTTCATTATATTGATTTTAAATTCATTTATTGCAGCACAGTTGCCTCAGAGAAAGTTTGAATTATTGATCTCATCTCCTGAGTGATAAATGTGTGTAATTCTGTTATTTATTTATTAATTTTAATTTTATTTTATCTCATTATATTATTTATATACTGACATTTCTGCCTATTTACATTGACTGGATTCATTATTTTAAAATTGTTATTTTATATTGACATTGATTTGACAAAACTAAGATCATGTTTAATGTCCATGTCACACCTATGCCGGTAGTTGTTGGGAACACTAAGCTCGAAGTTGTTGACGAGTATGTTTACCTGGGACAAATAGTCCGACTAGGTAAGTCCAACTTCGACCGAGAGGTCAATCGACGGATTCAACTCGGTTGGGCAGCGTTCGGGAAATTACGGCACATCTTCTCGTCAGGTATACCTCAAACCTTGAAAACGAGACTGTACACCCAGTGCGTGTTGCCAGTGATGACATACGGAACTGAGACGTGGTCCTTCACTGCTGGCCGGATGAGGAAGCTCAAGGTCGCTCAGCGAGCTATGGAGAGGGCTATGCTCGGAGTTTCTCTGCGTGATAAACTTAAGAATGAGGATATCCGCAGTAGAACCAGAGTAACCGACATAGCCCAACGGATTAGTAAGCTGAAGTGGCAATGGGCCGGCCATATAGCTCGAAGAACCGACAACCGATGGGGAAGAAAGGTTCTCGAGTGGCAGCCTCGTACCGGTAGGCGAAGTGTAGGGCGTCCCCCCACGAGATGGAGTGACGATCTGGTAAGACATGCAGGAATTCGATGGATGCAGGTGGCTCAGGACCGTGCTTTGTGGCATTCTTTGGGGGAGGCATATGTTCAGCAGTGGACTTGTGAAGGGCTGTAATGATGATGATGATGATGATGATGATTGACATTGATTTATTTATTGCAAAAATTTTGGAGACTGATTTTAAATTCATTGATTTTACTGGATATGGGTGTAATTTGCCTGAATAAAGATGATTATTATTATTATTATTATTATTAATCACTTGGTTCATAATACATATATTGTATTTACTTGTAACGCGTTCCATGAATATTAACGTAAAATCTTCATCAAGTAGTGTTAATTTATTGAAATAGTTGCGAGTATAATGTGAGGCGATGTTTGGTGTTGGTTGCAGCGAAGCCGCGCGGACGACTGCTACCTGGTGGACGCCTTCACGTCCATCGACGACGCGCCCGCGCTGCTCGCCGGCTCCTACGGCGGCACACAGTGAGTGGACACAAGGGATAGAGAGAGAGAGAGAGATATATTTTCCATTATAGGAAAACCTGTTACTAATTGCTACATTTCTTTCTACTTTGGTGGTAACGTCCTAATGTGGCAATGTTGAAGTGGTTTTTTTGAATTGAAAACAGAATCGTTGTGAAAAAACGACACTAAAAAGAGAGAAACATATATATCTCTAGGATTAAACCTGCGAGAGAATGAGATAGAAAACGGTATACAATTTGTTCCTATTATCTCAGTCTCCTCCTTGTGCGGTGCTTTAATGATGGTTAAATTTTAACTCTTAAAATAAACTTAAATAAAATTAACTTTATTGTATAAATAAAATTAACCATTTTGAATAAAATTATCATGTCCAATACATTCATAATAATCCACGATTTATATTAAACTAGCTCGCCAGGCAGACGTTGTTCTGCCTTTTCCAACGACCCTTCCTATAAAAATCCTTAAATTCGCAATAAAAAATTTGAGGGTGATTTATCGGGATAAAAACTATGCTATCTTTCAAATTGGACCAAAATGCACATAGTGTGCTCAATTTCATTGAAATCAGTTCAGTAGTTTAGGAGTCCATCGCGGACAAACAACGTTACACGTTATTTTTATATAATTATAAAGATTAATTGTTTTTAGGCCTATTTTACGTATCGTAACGTTACCATAAGAGTCGAATGAATTTTTGTTCGATAAAATGTCTTGAACTATAGATTAAAGATGAGATGGCTATGACATTATACTATTATATTTTCTGAAGATTTCACTTTTACCCTATGAACTACACACATGTTTCTTTTGTATTAGTCTTCAACCAAATCATTATATATATATAGCCAATACTAAGATTTTCTCTACCACATATAATTGCAGATGGACAAACATCCTGACCCGTTACAATCACTTTATTAGGTTTTTCAGTTTGACTGCCTTGCACAACAAAAAACGCAACTGTTGAACAAGTGGTACACTGGATTAGAATCCAGAATTGAGCCAAAATCAAATTGCTGTCCAGAAATTTTCAACAAAGCACGTAAAGCCATTGGCCCTGAGCCTGATCTGTCTCCGGTCGGGTCGGCTTGCCGTCCCATCACATTATGACAATTAGGGAATAGTGTATTCACTTATGCTGCGCATATACTCGGCCGCTATAATCCAGTCGTGCGCAAATGACTTATTTCCGTTTAAACTGGCCAACATTCGGTCTAGAGGATAGTTAAAAATAATTGTAGACATGAAAGCTACTACCGACACGCATTGGAGCATTGCGATGGCCTCTTTTCCGTCCATGCGTAAACAACAGAACGCAAAAAGTTGTCATTAACAGTATGAGCTCCTACGGGTCGATCGTACAAATGGGCGTGCCTCAAGGCTCAATTCTCGGCCCCTTTCTGTTTCTTGTATACATTAATGACTTACCTTACATAGTAGGGGATAACCATGATATAGTATTATTTGCTGATGACACATTTTTAATTTTCAAATTAAAACGACAATTACTAAAATATTACTAATTACAGTGGTAGAGCCACGCGGCAGCTTTTGCTGTCGCCCGGATGGGCTGGCTCGAACCGGGGTGGTACCACGACCTCACAGAATACCAGCGTGAAGTAGAGGTTTACCTCTGCGTTTCGCTTGGTGAGTGCAGGTGGCCGGAGGCCCTTTTTACTGGAAATGAGGCATTCCATCTTGGTCTTCGCGGGTGACAACGCATCTGCATTTTGATTCGCAAACAAGAATAGATGTAGATGTCTATGGGCCGCAGCAACCACTTACCATCAGGTGGTCTGTGTGCTCGTTTTTACCCTTATCCTATAAAAAAAACTAATAGACTTAAAGAGGCGCTGCGACAAAAAATTAAGGAAATTAATGTATTAACTTTGGCCTCAATACATTTATGAAAATGTAATGTACTTACACATAAATAAAAGTAGTTTTACAAAAATAAGTGATATTCATTCTGTAAATACTAGGAACAGACACAAGTACCAGTTACTCGACTCCACCGAGTCAGTAATTCATCCTTGGGGCGTTGTATACGCTTCTACAACAAAATACCAGAAAATATACAAAATTTGACCTGCTCAAAGTTCAAAAACTATTAAACTAAGATTGTATAAAAAGGGTTATTTTTATACAATCAAAATATTATTATTATAATAATATTAAGGAATTTATAATAACCCCTGGGAATGAGGTGATCGCTACCAAGCTGTTTCTAATTTGTTTTTGTTGTTAATTGTGTAACATACGAGGGTGGATTGAAAAGTACTCGGCCTAACCAAGAAAATAAACAAATACTAAATCAGTTATATTTTTATTTTTCTACATAATCACCATCAAGTTCAATACACTTTTGCCACCTCCCCTTCCAAGCATTTAGACCGTTGAAAAAAAATGATTCTTCCTTAGAGTCAAAATATGCGTCTACAGCTGCTTTGACCTCGTCGTTTGTCGAAAATCTTTGACCTCCCAAGTGCTTTTTTAGGTTAGGGAACAGAAAGAAGTCTGATGGTGCCAGATCAGGTGAATACGGCGGATGCGGTAACAGTTCAAAGCCACAGTTGTGAATTTCAGCCATTGACTGTACTGACGTGTGAACACGGGCGTTATCTTGATGAAACAGGACTTTTCTTCTGAGCATTCCTCGACGTTTTTCTTTTATTTCCTCTCGTAAACGACGTAGTAAGGTGCAGTAGTAATCAGAGTTTATATTCTGACCCCTTTCAAGATAATCAATCATAATCACACCTTTCGAGTCCCAGAATACTGAAGCCATCACCTTATTTGCCGACAAAATCGACTTAGCCTTTTTAGGGGGTGGTGAACCAGGTCTTCTCCACTGTTTTGATTGTTGTTTTGTTTCCGGTGTACAGTAATGAACCCATGTTTCGTCCATAGTAACAAAACGATTCAAAAAATCATCTGCATCGGCTTCAAATAACTCCAAACAGTCGCGTGAAATAGTCAATCGCGTCCTTTTTTGTTCAACTGAAAGCAGTCGCGGAACCCACCTCGCAGACACCTTGTGGAAACCCAACTCGTTGACAATGATGTTTTGAGTTCGTTCATAAGAGATGCCTATAATCTCGGCTATCTCTCTAATTTTTAATCTGCGGTCTCCCATTATTAAATCAAGTACTTTTTTAATATTTTCGTCAGTAGTTGACGTCGAAGGCCTTCCAGAGCGGGGTTCATCTTTCACACTCTCTCTACCACGCTTAAATTCGCTATCCATTTTTTGACGGATGAATATGACAGAGCACAATCGCCTAATGTACTGACCATGTCATCATGGATGGCTTTTGATGATAGCCCCTTCTTATGGAGGTACTTAATGACGGCACGCTGCTCGATTTGCTCCATTCGCGGAAATTATGTCCGATTACTTTGTTAATAAATTTATAAAATCACAACTAATAATCGCACACGTTTCGAACTTCACACAATGAACTAGTCTGAACTGAACTAAATAATGTGGGTAGATTTGATTTTTAGAATTGAATGGATCTGTGTTAGGCCGAGTACTTTTCAATCCACCCTCGTATATGATTGTAAACTGTTATTTAAAAAAAAAGTTCCACTGGGTTTCTTGCTGGTTCTTCCCAGGACAGAGGCCTTTTTTCGGACCAGTGATAATTAAATAAAAGAGTGACTCAATTCATGGCTATTATTAATAATTTTCTGTTTCTGTTTGCACAAAACACTATGAGTAATGTGGAGACATTTGTGTATTTCCTCGTATTTTTAATGTTGCGATGACATGTTTCAGAGACACATTGAGATCTGTGACGCTAGCGGAGAGGAAGCTGTTGCCGCGGACCAACTTCAGCGGCAACAAACAGATCGTGCGCTGCTGCTGGTACGACAAGGACGTAAGTACAACACACACACACACACACACACACACACACACACACACATAGTTTTTGAACTTTTTGTCTCTATGTTTCTCTTTTTAAACACAAACATCGTACTTCATCAGTATATTCTATTTCAATAATGTTATTTCGACGGCTCCTATTGGCTGGTCACGACTCTGCCATATCTACAATCTGTTTTTTTTTATAGAATAAGGGTGACAAGCGAGCACACAGTCCACCTGATGGTAAGTGGATGCTGTGACCCATAGTGGTCTTTACTCTTAACTGTGTAGTGGCGTTGTAAGAATATCCACTAACCTTAATTGTCCCGGGGGTGTCGTAAGAGGCGGCAGCGGGAAAATGAAACAGGCGATGGGCAGCAGCATCTTCCTGATAACAAATCAAAATAATAAAACACTGCGAATTCTAACCCGCTAGTCAAGCGTGGCAACTATGACAAAATCTATTATATAAGTAAATTCAGCAGCGGACTTTTATAGGCTGTAATGGATAATTACATATACTCACCTGGAGTGTTGTGTTTAAAAAGCGAAAGTCTATCAGTAGCAGTAAAAAAGGTCTTCGGTTCTCTAACACTCACCGTATAAAACGCAGCAGCATGAGGCTGCTATTTTACGTTTGTATTCTGTGAGAGCGTTCGAGCGGACCCATTCGTGTCGCAGCGTGGCTCTACCACGTGTTTTTCTTAGTTCAATTAGCATAAGTTTATACGGTTGCCATTGTTTGTTGAAATTTAATTTCGATTCAGAGACAATAATATTTAGGCTTTAAAAAAAATATGCTAAAAACATAGTGATATATCAGAGTACTTTTCTACCAACTTCAAAAAGGAGACGGTACTCATTTCGACTGTCTGTTTTTTTTTTATGTGTCACCTCATAACTTTTTACTGGGTGAACTGATTTCGATGATTCTTTTTTTATTTTGATCAAGGTCTGACCAATAGTTTTTGAGTTGTTCTTTTGTTGAATTTATATCGAAGTCGGTTGTATAAAATATTTAATTTTAATTTATTATTAGATTATATTACTCTTGACTACCTATAGGCTTCTCTTGTATAAGGTGACGGATGCCTTCAATAATAAGATATTTAATATTGCGTTCTGATAAGCAAAGATATGTTTTTTAGTGACGATTATTGCTATTTCCCCAGATTTTTTTAAATTTTTTTTTATAGAAGAAGGGAAACGAGCATGCGGCTCACCTGATAGTAAGTGACTACCGCCGCCCATGAACAACTGCAACACCAGGGGAACCAGGGGAATTGCAGATGCGTTGCCGGCCTTTTAAAAAGGAGTAGGCTCTTTTCTTGAAGGTCCCTAAGTCGTATCGGTCCGGAAAATTCGCTGATGGTAATCGATTCCACAAGGAAGTTGTGCGAGGAAGAAAACATCTACTAAATCGCACAGTGGTGGACCGCCAATCATCTAGATGGTGTGGATGGTATCGGGAGTTCTGCCGCGATGTACGTTCGTGAAATTTGGCGGCTGGAATTAATCCAAACAATGCCTCAGAGCACTCCCCGTGGTAAATGCGAAAGAAAATGAAAAGGGATACAACACCTCTTCGCAGCGTCAATGAATCGAGCCGATCGGAAAGGACTCGGTCGTCGACGATTCGAACCGCTTTACGCTGGATGCGGTCCAGTGGAAGGAGCTAGCACTGGGGAGCCCCGGCCCAGATATGGGTACAACCCACCACTTCCCATGGCCCCACCGACCCTCAGGTCATACGAGCTGAATCTCGGGAGATGCGCGCGGTACTTGCACGTGGCTCTTTCCCGCGCACACTTTCTTAACTCCCTACAAATATTTAATCTACTCCTGGTCCCAGTTTAATGTCATTCTCCCCCTTCTGGGGTTGACGACACATTGACGTCTACGTCGTCGGGCTCTCCTACCAGCCTTCCATCTGCCTTGTCCTGCGATCGTGCCACCTATGCGCAAACTCGCGCAACAGTCCGTAGTTCACCACATCGCTGACGAGATCCGAGTAGTAAACTGGTCCCTGAACCGGACGAACTAGTCCATCCATCATTTTCACTCTTAGGTCATCATATAGAGGACATTCCCATAAAACATGGTGAACATCCTCCTCTGACATACCGCACTCACACATACTTATTTCACACAGTTTCATGTCGCTCAGTCTCTTCCGAAAGCATCCATGTCCGGTGAGAATCTGAGAGGTTTGGTAGTCCGGTGAGACCCAGGTATACCTGAGTCTCAACGCCACGTCCGGGAAAAATCGATGCAGCTCACGTACTTTTGTATCACACGTCCATCTATCCTGCCAGGCGCTGATCACCTCAGTCCAGATATCGCGATTCCGTCTACTCAACTCCTCTTTGGGCGCGGTCAAGCGTGCTATACCCATCCTACCAGCACGGATAACCTCTAGGTCAGCAGGGAGAACGCCAGCCAGCACCGGTAAGGCCGCCGTGCTAGTGGATTGGTACGCTTTGGTCAACAATACAAGAGCGGATCGCTGCGATCTTAGTAGTACGCTACAAACTGTGTACAAACTGTGTGCAAACGCACGCTCATACCAGCACTCTGCCGCATACGTAAGCGTGGACACAAATACTCCTCTATGAATTAATTTTAAACTCGGATATCGTACACCCCATGATGATGTAGATACGCGAGACATCTTGCCGAATCCCTTGGTCGCTCTTTCAGAGATATCGGATGCATGTTGCACAAACGACAGTCCCGAGTCTAAAACCACGCCTAATACCTTAACGTTAGTCACAGTCTTAATAGATTCCCCACCAAGTTTAATAACGGGGGGGGGGGGGGGCTGAAGTTTCCCTCTAACAGTCATGGTGGTCGACTTTGAGGAGGAAAACTCCAGTCGATTCCTTAGCCCCCACTCCCGTACAAGGTCCAGAGTGACTCTGGCCCTGGATTCGATACCCGCTCTCGTTCCCGATTCAATCAAGATTGTAACATCATCGGCATAGGCAGTCATGGCTACTCCCTCGGGCAGAGGGAGTCGGAGCAGGTCATCCATCAGCATATTCCACAGTGTTGGGCCCAGCACGGAGCCTTGAGGACATCCCATGGTCGACGTCTTTCACTCTACCCGGTCCCCGATGTAGAGGCCCACACGCCTGGAGATGAAGTAGTCCACCAACATTCTATAAATGTTGCGTGGACATCCACCCCTTTTGGCCTTGACCATCATCATCGGCCACCAGGCATTGTCGAAGGCACTGGAGATATCTAAGAATATTGCTTGCACGTAGCATGCCTGAGAATACCTTGCCGTGCTGAGCAGTACACGCAGCGCTGTTTCTGTAGACCGGCTCGCAGAAAATCCGTGCTGGTACTCGAATATCCCGCGACTAATCGCGGGAGCACAACTTAAAATTACTCGTTCCAATAATTTTCCCAAAACAGGGAGGAGCGTTATTGGACGGTATGCCTTGGCGTCGGTGAGCGGCTTGTCATTACCCTTGGGCGGCTTGTCATACATTGGGGAAAACCCCCTCTTCCACACACTTGGCATACACCGAGTGAAATTCCCTCGGTGCCGCAATCCACACATTCCTCACGATTCTCGCACTCACTCCATCGAGTCCCGGAGCCGTGTTGGGTAAGGCCTTGACTATACCACCCAGGTCCCCAACCTTAAGTGGAGGCGCGGCTCCACCCGACGGCATGAAAGCTGCCAGCAGACGAACCTGCCGGTGGTAAGGCGAGTCGCAGTCAGTGCTGTCATCCGGACAGAGCGCAGACATTAATTTATGCATCGCTGCTTCCAGACCGTCCGGGTGTCCACCCGCAAAGGCGATCCCATTCATCATATTTGCAGGCGGACGTAACCTCCCGCTGGCCAGCCTGTATGCAAGGCCCCATGGGTCCTCATTGCCAGAGTTGGCAATCTTCCTGTGCTGCGACTGCTGCGCCTCCACCATCATCTTCCTATATCTCGCACGCACACTATGGAAAGCCATCCTGGCTAACTTCTCAGACCTACCTCCCAGACGCCTTTTACTCTGCCAAGCACGCCTAAGTTTGCAGTGCAAATTCCGAGTTTTGTCCAGTTCAAATGTCCACCATTCATACCCCCCCCCCCCCCCGACCCCCTGGGGCGACTCTCCCCTAGGCCTTCCTCCGCTGAGCGGATTACAACCCCTGAGAACTTCACTGATGGAAGTAAAATCGACACAAAGGTAGGCGCAGCAGTAACGATCTGGAAAAATGGAGTGGAAATTAAGACAATAACCTTCAAACTAGAAAGCTATTGTAGTGTCTTCCAAGCAGAGATGATTGCAATTTTAAAAGCTGTAAAGTACGTTGCTGACAGAGATTATCAAGGAGCAAATATCTTTACTGATTCAAGATCAGCTGTTATAAGCATATGTGATCCAAGCTCATTGAACCCAATTGCTTTTAAAATTCGTAACATGATAAAAGACATTGAAGACAACCAAAAGAAAATCTTACTGTACTGGATTAAGGCCCACTGTGGAATTCAGGGCAACGAAAGAGCAGACGAACTAGCCAAACGAGCTGCTACTAGAAGCAAGCAAAAACCGGAATATGATAAATTCCCACTGTCGTATGCAAAGCGCCTCACTAGAAACGCAACCCTACAAATTTGGCAAAGAAAATATGAAGAATCGACAACCAGCACCATAACCAAGACTTTCTTTCCCAATGTTTTAGTAGCTTATAAAGTAATAAAAAATATAAAAATGAATAATTTAGTCACACACCTGTTTACTGGGCATGGCGGTAACAATGCTTACCTGTATAAATATAAATTGGCATCATCCCCGTGCTGCACTTGCGATGAAAACGTAAACCAAACTGTAGAGCACATTATAATTGACTGCCCGCGATTCAGTAAAGGAAGAGTTGAAGCTGAATGCAGCATGGGAATGACCATTGCAAAAGACAATCTAAACATTATAATCGAGGATAGCACTTGCCGACCTATCTTTATGACATTTGCTCTTCAAGCATTAAGAATTATAAGTAAGGAAAATGGAAGTATAATGGTAGAGTAAGCAAATGTTAGAGTACGGTACATGTAATGAATTCCAAAAAAGAAAAAAAAACTATTTACTTAGTACTTGTTAAATACACGTACTTTAATCAAAAATCTGTAACTACAAATAACAAGTGTTAAGAAAGTAGAAATGCTAGAGTAAGAAATCTTAAGTAATGAAAAGTTTTAAAACATTATTAATTTAGTTAGTAAATATAATATGTATAAAGAGTATATTGTAAAAAAGCGATAAAGAAAGAAAAAAAAATAATAAAAAAAAGAATAAAAAAAAAAGAAAAAAAAAGATAAAGAAAAAAAAATTAGATATAGAAAATATAAAAATAAAATAAAAAAAATATATATACTTAAGGATATTCTAGAATAATCTACTTAAGTAAGGATACACAAAAATTAGATGTAAAAACAGAAATAACATAATAGTAAGAAATCCTAAGTAATGTAAAGCTTTAAGATTATTAACATAGTTAATAAAAGTAATGTGTATAATGAAAAAAAAAACATACAGAATATATTAATGTAATTGTAACGTATGTCAGAAATTTCAGTAAGAATATTATACAACAGTAAGTGTACTGAGTGAAGTAATGTATAAGATAAGAAGTATTGAGTAATATGTAGCTAAAAATTTAGAAATATAAGTGTACCAATGATAAACCAAACTGTAAGCAGTACGGAACAATAAAATAAAAAAAATAAAAAATAAATAAAAAAAAACAGTATCATTAAAACAGTAGTTAAATGCTAGAAAGAAGGGTACTGCAGAAAAGTAGTAGTAAGCTATAGTTAAAAAAAAACCCCCTGAGAACTCCTCCGCCAGGAGAGCCGCAGGTTTTTCCACGTGCAGCCATCCCATTCGTAATTTGACAATCGCCCGGAACCTTTCCCAATCCACCCCTCGGTCACGAAAACGGGGGGGATCCCTAACGGGTGCTGCGCGCGTCGTCGGCCTGCTAGTAGTAGCCGTGTAAGTTATTAAGTTATGGTCGCTGGCGCAGACCCCCTCGTGCACCCGCCACTCGGCAATGTAGACGTCCCCAGTGGAGAGGGTCAGGTCCACGTTGGACTCACCTCTAGGCCCAGAGAAGGTGTAGGGCTGGTCAGGCATATTTGCCAACATTAGAGCATGTGTGATAATAAATGCCTCCATTTGCTGCCTTCGATATTCTATATTTTGTCCTCTTCCCACGTAGTGTCGGCGATCACAATACCAGAGTGGCGAGTACGCGTTGGCGTCGAGGCCCACGATCACCCTTCTGACCTTAAGGCAACTCAGGGCGACCTCTAAGTGGTGCAGGTGGTCATAGATGGTGTCGCTAAATTTAAAATACGCTGACACCACATAGAGGTCCCATCGGTCAACATGGCACACCACACAAAATTCGTTGCTGAGGTGGCTCAGCACTGCTACCCCAATTGCTGGGTCAGCAAGATAGATATGGGTACAGTATTCCATGTGAGGTCGAACCTGCGTCTTATAAAGTTGAAGGCGGGGTCCCGGCATGAAATACTGTCCCGCTCTGCTGAGCACGCCAAGCTTTTTAGAGGCCAATTTGGCCTTCTCTTCCAAGTGACCACGAAACTGCACGTCACTTGATATGTCGACACCGAGGATACCGATACTGGCCGAGGCAACAAGGGGAGTGCCTTGAAACTGAGGAGATACGACAAAGAGGTTCTTTTAGCTGTAAACGCGCAAACTTGTGTCTTCAGAAGATTAAACTGGACTAGATTTCGTCGCCCCCAATCCGAGACTTCGTTCAGCAAAGACTCGACTTCAGACACAAGTTTATTCCGGTACTCGGCGACGTTTTCCCGAGAAACATTGGCACGGCCGGTGTATAGAGCATCACCAGTGCTGTCAGCCGCATAACAATGAATGTTACCAGTTTGCAACATATCATTGATATGCAAATGAAACAGCGTTGGTGATAGCACGCAGCCTTGTGGAACACCAGCGTTAATAGGCTTGTAGTCGGAGCATGCACCGTCTACAACGACCTTGATGCTCCGATCTGCAAGGAAGCTGGTGATCCAATTGCACAATTTCTTAGGAAGCCCATAGGAAGCGAGCTTCGAAAGTAGCGCTTTGTGCCAAACCCGATCGAAGGCCTTCGCAATGTCCAAACTAACGGCCAACGCCTCCCTTGGACTCTACTGCCTCCGCCCATCTATGAGTCAGGTAGACCTAGATCACCAGCGGATCGACCCCGACGAAAACCGTATTGGCAGTCACTAATCAGCTGGTGATCCTCAAGATACCGCATGAGCTGGCAGTTTATAATGGATTCCATTGTTTTGGAGAACAAGGAGGTGATGGCGATAGGCCTGTAGTTGGACGGGTGTGAGCGGTCGCCTTTTTTAGGGATCGAGTGGACAAAAGCTGTCTTCCATGATTTCGGAACTACGTCTAAGGAGTAGGAATACCGTAAAAGACGCGTTAGAACCGGTGCCAACTCCGGAGCACACGTCCTCAGCACAATTGGGGGGATTCCGTCAGGCCCACTCGACTTGTGGATGTCCAGTTAGAGGAGTGCTTTGCGAACCGAGCGCTGTGAGAACCGCACATCCGGCATGGAGCACTCAGTAGCTTTTAAAAATAAATGAATAATATCCATTAAACAATTGCCAATATTCAACATTTTAGTGACAGTCTTATGTCGGTAACATTTTGTTTTTTCGTAGTCCAATATGGCTTTTGGTCTTTGATCTCTACAGAAAGGCATTGTGGTGACTATTGTATTAACGATTTTTAATTTTATCTCAACAGAAAGACATTCTGGTGACGACCGGTGAGTCAGGGCTCCTGAGTGTTTGGAGCGGTCAAGGCGCCTCGGAGAACGATTACTGCACCAGCAAGCTGACCAACTCGCTCAGAAATCTGCATGCCAATAGACATAAACCCTATTAGAAACATTTTGTTGTTTAATTTAACATTACCTCCTAAATTCATTTATTTTTAACGTACACTTCCGTCTTTACTTGATAAGATCGCCGCATTATACAACAGGTTTAATATACAGTTTTTCATTTTTCTGTAAATTGTTATGGTGTACAATAAAGTTATATTTATTATTATTATTACCTCTAAACCAGCGCCTTAAGACCAGGTTGGACAAAATATCGTACTTTAGACACGATTTTGACACGCGGGAATTGATATATTGAAATAGTTTAAGCTCGGAAAAAAATGTGCGCATTCGTAAATTAATCAATGAAATTCTTTTAGAACACGTTATGTTAAATGAGATAAAAAAAATTCGCCAGAGAACTTTGACGTTCGAGTTCTTTTTTTAGCGATAATCATATAATATTTTATGATAATATGAAAGGCATGTTAGTGAATTATATTCTTAATCAGCTACATTTTTCTACAGACTTCAAAAAGCAGCCGGTGCTCAATAAGACTGTATGTTTTTTTTATGTTACCTCATAACTTCTTACTGGGTGAACCGATTTCGATGATTCTTGTTTTATTTGACCAACAAAACACCACCAACATATTGTGAGAGGAGAGATAACCGAATAATTTTTATTCAATATTGATTATTACATAATACTTATTAAAAGTCATTTTTTATTTACCACTGGTTCGGAAAACACCCCAGTCCTGGGAAGAACCAGCAAGAAACCCTTTTTTTTTCAAACATATTTCACTTAACAATAACTTTGTTTATACAATTTTTAAATGATTTTTCATAGAACCAGCATGGTGACGATCACCTTATTCCCAGAGGTTATTTTCATTCATGTATTCCTTGATATTATAATAACCCTTTTTGTACAGTTTTTCTCTAATAAAACTTTCATACTTGGTTATTGACAAACTTTGAATATGTTCTGGGATTTCGTTGTAAAAGCGTATACATTGCCCCATAAATGAATTACTGATTCTGTGGAGTCTAGTAACTGGCATTACAAGCTTATGTTTGTTCCTAATGTTTAAAGTATGCACATCCTTATTCTTATTAAAGCTATTTATGTTTTATGCACATACATTACATTCTCATAAATATATTGCGATGCCAAAGTTAATATGTCTATTTCTTAAAAAAAAATTCTGAGGGACTACAATTTAGGTAACAGAAGTTTTTTCCAACTAGTTTAGATGTATGCAAAAGTGTATAATGTTACTACTATTGTGTGTAATAAGTATACAATCACGTTGTCCAATATTGCTTAGCTTCTTCAGTGAGGCCTATAATAATCGCAAATGTCGTACGTAGATTTAGTGTTTTCAAAATAATTCCTCCCATCGCCGGCGCACGCTTTTATACTCTTTAAGGAAGATTTAGAGCATTCCAGGCCAATCCGGGCAATTCAAATATTCTGCTCTGTTAATGGGAAAGTACCCGTCCGATTAACAATATTTCTAAAGGAGAAAGGGTTTTCTGCGCATAAACATAAGATTGCGTTTTGATTGCGTTTATAGTATAAACATTGTCTATTTTTATGCCTACACATTTTATTAACTTACAGAAGACATTGAACCTTATCTTAGGGAATATTCTCCTGCAATGTGATGCAACACGCAACTGGCTATTGCAATAATACGATGGCAGCAGAATACTATTGATGTAAATTAATAAATGTGATTTATGGCATGACTCGCCGTTCATCCAAAATATGCCAATGCAAAGAAACAGCAAGCTATTGCCAAGGGAACGGCAAAAAGGCGAAACAATCTTTTGTAAACATACACATACGTAATATCGGTGGGCAGATTAATGTCTACACTTAATAGGAACCTACATGCAACAGAAAAATCGCCTCAAAATTTGTCAATCTATATATCTCATGCGTGGTATATACGGTCCGAAGTGAGTTGGCATTGGGAATAAAACGTTTTTAGAATAAGGGGGTGATATATTTATACATATAAATAAAATTGAATTGTCTGTCTGTAATATTGAAATAACTTACTTCTATTAATAGAATGGCTTAAGCTCCAGGGGTTATTTGTATGCTATAGAGACATAAATAACTATTTAAAAAAAATTGTATGTCTGTCCGGAATTAATAACATGAATTCTGAATTCCTAGCATGATTCCTTAGTCCTTACACACATTATAATTTTTGTTTAAAATTTGTCATAATTTTGTCTACAAATTTCATGTTAATATTCTCAGTGTATTATTCCGTGTACCAGTCTTTTAATGTATGAATTTATGTGAATTAGAATTAGATAATAAATAAAAGGAGTCATTTCGTTCGTTTTAAATTTATTTATTACCCTAATGTCATCAATTATAATCATTAAGCTATATTATAAAAAAATAACTAACAAATATTCAGAATACAATATTAACAAACAGATTAATAATAAAATACAACAAAAGAAATATAAAAGTTAATAAATTTTAATCTAACTATAAATGTGTGATGAAAGCACCTAAACAAATTTTTAACTACCTACTATAATCTACATCCTTTTATCAAAATCACGTAAGTTGCCGAAATACAAGATTGTGATTAGTAAATGGTAACTTTGACTCCTCTGGACTGGAGGTCATTATTAAAAATAAAAGTACTTGTTTCGTTGGCTACTCACGCATTAGTCGTATAGGTCAGATAAACCTTACTTTAAAACTATCTGTTATAATTAGTAGCGGGTACACCTTTAATGTTTCTTCACACGAGTTTTATTCATAAATTAAAACAAATTATCCTAGATAAATTAAAATTTTTGAAAAGTATATAATATCGAATCATAAAATCAATTCATGGTTGAAATTACAACTTACTATTTTTATTTCTACAAATTTTCAATCACAGGCGAAATATTCGATTTATTCAAACGATGCGCCGGTCACTCACATATGAACAAAGATTTAAAAATACAAAGCATAATGTTATACTTAAGTACGTATATTCTAATTTCATATTTGTATTTATTTTTCCATCAGGTGAGCCGCTTGCTTGTTTCCCAAAAGTCCTCTCATTTAGTGCTCTACCAACCATCATAATTGTTCTATTTTTATGACATTATAAATTATATTATACTTTTTGGCGATTTCACCTTGCAAAAGCTTAATAAACTAAAAGACAAGGAGAGGGTCTGCATCTAACTCATCTATTGTTGCAGATGCTAATGAGTGGGAAATCATACGAATCAACGAAATTAAAACCAAAAAACCAACACGAGAAATACGAAAAATATTTAAATAATAGAGAATATATTGCACTACTACATTTGTGCGTATGTAAGTCACCGTCGTTTGAACAAATAGATAGACTTATCACGTCTTTGATTGCGAAATTATTTTTTGATTTTATTATACATATTTATCACATCATTACAATTTGAATATTAAACTATTTACAAGTAGGTATTAACCGAAATTATTTGTTATAATTGAAGAATCAAAAAAGATATATATAAAGCTACAGTGGTGGATTGCAATTTTTTTTTTAAGTATGAGATTTCTTTGTATTTTCTTTAACAAGTTTTGTTAACATTATTAACGATTTATTCACTTGAAATAAGAAATTTTGAGCAAGTACAATAATGTATGATGGGAAAGACTTTTGAGTGTAAATACGTAAAAAAGTTAATCTTTGGTTAATATAGATGCAAAATAACAGGAGGATTCGAGCCGGCTGCTGACGATGTGCGGTTGTACGTCGTATCACTTTGAAGACAGGAACATGATGAGCCTGCAACAAGTGTCATCAGGGTACTACAGTAGTAAACGGAGAGGCAGAGCCAAAAAAAGTAGGTATCTGAATTTATTAAGCCTGGTTTTTTTTTCAGGTGATTATAATCATAACATATACAAATAAATAAAATTGAAGTGTCTGTTTGTAGTGTCAAAATTACAGCTTTTTACTAATTGCATATAAAAGTATATACGGTACCTATAACAGAAACACAATTTTTAAAATTTTTGTCTGTCTGTCTGTCTGTCTGTTTGTTCCGGCTAATCTCCGAAACGGCTGGACCGATTTTGACGGGACTTTTACTGGTAGATAGCTCATGTTATAAGGACTAACTTAGGCTACTCATATTTTTGAAAACGAATTAGGGTTCCGCGCAACAAACTTTAAACCCTACTAGTTTACTATAAAATGCTACGGTCAGTCAAGCGGATATTAGAACAGGTGTCTCAGGTGCGCGGTCAAACATGTCGTGACCACCGACATAATAAAATCAATTTCTTAAGGCTGAAACTTTATGAACTTTTGTTATCATATGTAATATAATTAATAGAATCAGGCGTTACTTTGCGGAAATCCATTATATAAAAGCTTTTAGAAAAATTTACTTCGCAAATATCCGCGTTATAAAATAAAATGATGTGTCTTACCTAGTATGAAGAGCACCTCCCGCCCTCCCTCAATTGCGTGCACTATCCCCGTCACCACTAATACCAGCACCGCTACTCCCAACACCACTACACTAAGCAAGACAGGTGATATAAACTCTACGGTGGCTAACCGCTAAGTGAGCGGTGAGCCAAAACAAGTGCCTTTTATACAGACCGATGACGCAACCGCTCTCTACTTATGGAGCGAGCGACTGCGTCATGCGATATAACATGCGACCAATCACCGCCGGACTTACGCAGCCGTTTGTAAAATTAAAAACAAACCGCCGCGCAACGCCCACCTTCCAACCACGCAACCAATCGCCGATCACCGTGAGGGTGACAAACGACCATATTGCGAAGCTCTCTATTATTAGAGAGCAGGCTTAAAGATATTTAAGAGAGGTGAGTTAGTAACATTTGTTTGTTCATTCAGCAATGCAACGGTATTATTATTACTTTTTAATATCTCTAACTGTTCCAGCACACACAACCGCAGCCCTTTATTACACGTATGTTAGACTTTAAAGGAGTGGTCGTTGGCTAGGTTGTGTCCAGTGTCCAAAAGATGTTTGGCAAAATGGGATTTATCGGGATTGCAATTCCTGTACGCCGCTAAATGCTCTTTATAACGTGTCTCGAAATTGCGACCAGTCTGACCCACGTAAACGGCGTGGCATTCGTCACAAACAAGTTTATAAGCACCTGACTTTTGACGAATATCCAACTTTATTACAGATATTTCTAAGAGAATTGTTTGTTTTGAACGCTACATGAACGCCGTTTTGTCGAAGAGTATTAGCTACTTTTTCAGATATGGGGCCTAAGTAGGTCAAACTGCTCACATATCGATGAACACTTTGAGGTTGAACCGCGTACAGAGAGTTGCGAACAACATGCTTTTGTGTCTTTTTAATTAAATTGTTAATAAGATTTTTTGAAAAACCGTTAAGAGACCGCTATTTGATAAATTATATTAAGTTCTTTTAAATAATTTTCTTTACTTAATGGGACAGTGAACAAACGGTTAATGTAACAATAAAAAGCGGCTACTTTATGTTGCCACGGATGACATGATGACGCGGGGATGACCGTGTCGGTGTGAGTTGGCTAGAGTCCATGACAAAATTAAATTTAAACTTGAATTGGAACAAGATTGTTCCCTTAATTTTATCGAAAAAGTCTAAATCACCTGAGGATGCCTCGTGTAGAGGCGAAACACGTGTCGTATTATCGTCAGTGGTGTGTCTTGCCTAGTGTAGTGGTGTTGGGAGTAGCGGTGCTGGGATTAGTGGTGACGGGGATAGTGCACGGAATTGAGGGAGGGCGGGAGGTGCTCTTCATACTAGGTAAGACACATCATTTTATTTTATAACGCGGATATTTGCGAAGTAAATTTTTCTAAAAGCTTTTATATCATATGTAAATCAAAATTATGATAGTCAGTCAACTGTGTGAGAGAGTACCTGCAGTGCAGCGGCTTGGTTGCCAGCAGGCGATTGGCGTCGCGCGGCTCTTCGAGCGGCAGCGGCAGCGGCGGCGCGTCGTCGCGGAAGCTGTGCGTGTGTGTGTGTGTGTGTGTGTGTGTGTGTGTGTGTGTGTGTGTGTACCTGCAGTGCAGCGGCTTGGTTGCCAGCAGGCGGTTGGCGTCACGCGGCTCTGCGAGCGGCAGCGGCAGCGGCAGCGCGTCGTCGCGGAAGCTGTGCGTGTATGTGTGTGTGTGTGTGTGCGTGTGTGTGTACCTGCAGTGCAGCGGCTTGGTTGCCAGCAGGCGGTTGGCGTCACTCGGCTCTGCGAGCGGCAGCGGCAGCGGCAGCGCGTCGTCGCGGAAGCTGTGCGTGTGTGTGTGT